GGGCGGGGTTCTCTCCATTCGCCCGTGGTCTGGGCCCGCGCGCCGAGGCTGCTGGCTGCCTCGGGATGGGTCCTGCCTGTAGGACCATGGGGGAGTTTCCCAGCCGCCCGATGGTGGGTCCGGCCCGGGCTGGGCGACCACCTCAGCTGTGCTCTGCAGGGCTGGCCCTGGCTGCCATTTTGTGGGGAGAGAGGTCTGCCCTGGCAGCCATTTTGTGGGGAGCAAAATCCCCCACTGGTGGCCATCTTGTCCTGGCTAAGGAGAGGACACCGAGCACTGCTGGAGCTCGAAGGTGGTTGTGTCATGGGTGGCACCACAGCTTCTCTTCTCCCAGCGGCCAAGCCCTGCCAAAACCTATATTTTCTCTAAATGTCCTCTTTTTGGGTATGGTGTGTGATGAACATACTCAACAACAGACCGCGCTCCCTGAAACTTCACCCTCTCCCCCGATGACCTTTCCAGCATGCGACAAACAACACTGAAAGTACCAGTCAAAGCCAGTATGGAGCAACTATGAACCGATGTGATCAAATTGTGAAGTTAAAGGCCAGTTCCTGCCCAATGCCAGATGTGCTCTGCCAATGATATTTGGGCAACCATGGGAAGTGTGTCAAACTATGACTGCTCAAATGAATATGTAAGACCAAATCAATTGTATAAATCAGATACCAGTGAAACCATAGGTGTTCCCCCGTTATGGCTTGTCCCAGGGGCACCTGGTGCACACGATTAAAAGTTCCGGTCTTTGTAGTCCTATACTGTGCGTCCAGTGTCTCTCTCCTCAGTCAGCAAGCACATCACGCTTTCGCGAAAGGTGACAGGGCTGAGAGCCTGAGAGACAAGAGCAGGTGGTTGTGAAGGCCCCAGGTAGCAGCTGGCCCCAGAGAGTTCCTGTTTTGGGGTTTGATATGGAGCAGTGCACACCAGGCTGTAGCTGGGGGACCAGCGGTGGAAAGGGGCAGGGAAGTTCTCTTTGGTGCATGGGCATTCGTCCATACACCAGGGAAGGCCAGCTTGGAAGCTGCCTGGCTCCTGGTGGCGCCGGGGCTGCTTTGGTGTCCATGGTCTTGGTGGGCCCCTTGCAGCAGCCCCTTGGGGTCGGGTGTGATGGTCATGGCCTTGGCAGCAGTCTCCCCACTCGCAGCCTCCTCCTCTCTCCATGGCAAACCCAAATACAAATACCATGGCAACCTCTTAGCAACAGCACAGGCAACTCCAGTGGTGTCCAAAAAGTCAGGGCAATACTTGGGCCTGCTGAAGCCAGGAGCTTTCTTCCTCTGTGCTTCACAGCCGGCATCCTTCCCTCCTTGTCCTGGTGAGCACCAGGTGCTGGCAGTGGAGGAGAAGGGGTTGTTCTGCAGTCCCAAGGCAGCCAGGTGTGATCATGTCAGCCTCATCCCTGTGTTAGAGAAGGAAATTGTAGCTGACTTAGCTTCAGTTCAGCATAAGTCTGACTCTTGCTTAGCATAAGCGCCTAAAGTAGATGAAGCCTGCAGGCCTCAAGGCCAAACTGTCAATGAACTCACAAACATTGCTGATGATGTAACATTGCTGAGGATGTAACTGTACAACCAATTCAAACTAGCTAATAAAGATACAAAACTAGCTAATGAGGTCACAAAGTAGAATGCTGGAGACAAGATAGGATGCACCTGGGTTGTGGTTGACCTTCAAGAAGATAAGAGACTGTGGGAAACAAGGACATAGCAACCAGCCTGGGATGAAGGCCAAGACCAGACAGAAGAAGAGAGACGCCAATCAGAAGGAGAGAGACCACAGACTCAGTAAAGAAGATTGGAGGAGACCTTCACTGACAGGCAGGGAAATCAAACTGTAAAGAGTATAATTACCCCAGAATTGCTTTGTTCGGGGTGCCTCTCCGGAGGCACCAACTCGAGCTGTTGCTATGCTGTACTGTCATTTAAATAAATAATTAATTTTGCTGCAATACGTGCATGAGACTCTGCTCCTCGGAAACCTACAGTCAAACTGTTTCCATAACACCTCGTCACCTCAGCTCTCTCATCCCAGAGCCAGAGGACCAGGTTCCCCAGCCCAGCACAACCATGCCACCTCTGAGATTTGCAGAAGTCGTGGTGGCTCCATCTGCACCAGGAACTCAACCTTGACCGGGCCTGGGCAGTGTGCTTTGCCCCGTCCCCCAAGGATGTCCTGTCCTGTTCTGTGCTCTGTCCCCCTTGTTCTGGTCTCCCTTCCCTGTGTCCCTCTTGTGTCTCTCTCTTGCCACTGGGAGAAGCTCAGCTTGGGTTTTAAGCAGGTGTACTGGTTGTGTGTGCTCTCTGCTCTTAAGTGGGCTGGGTGGGACAGGAGCCATATGTAACTGAAAGGCAAAGGGTGTTGGGGAAGGGAGTCAGGCTTGTTCAAGGCCTTTGGAAGGGCCACACAGATGATTTAGGGACTTCCTGATACAGGTGATAGAGGAGCCAATGAGGAGAGGACCTCATACTTACAAACAAGGAAGGGCTGGTTGGAGACGTGAAGGCTGGGGGTAACCTTGGCTGCAGTAACCATGCCTGGGTGGTGCTGGATTGGGAGAGGGAGGATAGGCTATGGTGTGAAGGCACAGGCTGAACTGGGGTCTAACACCATCCCCAGTGCTGGTATGGGGCAGGAGCCCTGAATGTGCGAGTGGTTGGTGGGGGTGGTGTGTCTCTCTGTCCGAGCATTGTTTTATGTTGTGCATGGGTCGTGAAGCTGGCAGTGGTAGGCGGGGGGGACTCTGGGCATGCAGATCCATCTCCCAGCAGTGCTTTGTCTCATGGCGCATGGCAATATGCCCCTTGGGCTCATGCTGCTCTGGTCCCGCCATGTTGCTCAGCAAGACTGGCACCGCACATGTGGAGTCAGGGAAGCCCTGCACGGCAGTCACACCAAGAACTAGTGGATGGCGGGTAGCAATGAGGTCTGATGCTGAGGGAAGCAGGAGCATCAACATTCAGGGTCCAAAGACCCTCGCTCTGGCCAATGGCTCTGAAGGGCAGAGCCGATTTCGCCAGTCAAGGACGACCTTGGGGTCATTGTGAGACGTGGGCATCCCTCATCCTCCATGTTATAATAGTGATTGTGGTCAGGTCCCCAAGACATTGATGTGGGGATGATTTTTAGGCCTACGGGTAGGAGAGTGGGAGAAGGTGAAATCTTGGGGGAACGGCTGGGAGTGGGTCAAGGGAATTCACTTCAAGGTTTGGTCAAGAAAGATCAGGCTCCTCACCCATAAGTTCCCACATGTACTTTTATTACAAGCATTGCTTACACGTCCATGACCATGGCGTTGAAGAGCGCATGGATTTCAGCCTCACGAGCACGCAGCTGGTGCTGCTGCTCTGCTCCAGCGGTGCCTGTGGGTGCTGAGCTCTCTGCTCCTGGAAGCCAGCCCGGCTTCCTCCGGACGCGTCTGTCCACCCTGCTCCGCAGCCCGCTCCACCATCTCTGCAGGCGCTGCATGTTTCTGCCCTGCCCCACGCACTTGTAGTCAGTGAAAGGCACAGGCTTACAGGCAGCTCTCCGGAGCCTGGTGAGAGCAGCACGGGAGGGTGGCTGTGCCCATGGGGGCAAGGGCACCGTGGGGGTTGGTGATGGAGAAGACCCCCTCTGCCCAGCTCTCTGCAGGTCTGTCGTGCTGGTGGAGACAGAGCACGTGGATGCCTGCTTTGCAGGAGGAGCCCTTTCCTTCCACCCAGCCTGGCCCTTGAGCCTTCCCCCTCGTGGCTTCTGTCCCTCCTGTGTCCCCTGTGCCTCTGTGAGCGGGGCTGCTGCCTGTGACAGAGATGACAGCCACAAGCCCTTGCTGTCCGATGAGCTGTCGTGCAGAGAAACACCTCGCTGCTTGCAACCTCTCCTGGAGCCGGCCATTTGTGGGAGCTTCTGTGTTATTTCCCATTTGTACACTGCCTTCCTGTTGATTGTCAGCTCAAAGCCCAGCCCCAGTTGGACCTGGATGTTCGTTCCCTCAATCTCCATGTTCACGAAGAGGAGGAAAGCAGCCAGCATGGCCATGTCCTGGGCGGCTGTGGGCCGGTTGTGGTGTGGGCAGCTGTTAGTGAGGCACCAGCAGCACTGCAGGCAGACGGGGTATTCCTCCATCACGTCTCTGCACAGAAGGGGAGTCTCACGCGCCATTTTTCTGCTCATCAGCTTGCCGAGCAGATTGACAGCAATTTGGGTGGTGTCAAGGGACCTCCTGAGGCATCTGGCAAGCTCTTCCACATTGGCGATGGGAATGCAGGTCCCTGAGGGTCTTGGAGCTCGTGGCAGCACAGACAGCTCCCTCTGGACTGGTGACTCCTGTGTCGCAGGGCATCTTTCTTGGGAAGTGCCTGTGCTCTGTGTTGAGAGCTTCTCAGTCATCAGGCACCCATTCCAGCAGCACTGGTTGGCCAGGAACTCTTCCAAAGCTTTGTCCTCCTCACATGCTTTGCAGCAGCAGTGTATGTCTTTGGAGGCACGGGATAAGCCTGCCCCAGCAGGATAAGGCGGCTGAGGGAGGTGCCAGGCATCTTCCTCCAAACGGGAACGGCTGTGCCAGGGGAGAAAAGGGCTGGAGTCCCAGCCAGACTGGTGGAACTGACTGCTGGCAAATGTGCCCTTGCTCAACCTGGGAAGGAGGAAGAAGGTGAAAGGAGACCCCGGGGCTCCTTTTTGTGCATGGGAGGAATCCTAGTGGCTTGGAGGCCCTGAAGTGTCCCGTCCTGGTTGTCCAGGACAGCCCTGGCTCTCCCCCGCTCAGTGCACTGATGGGCTTCCTGACCCCAGGGCTCCCAGAGGGGTAGCCCTGCTGTTTGTCAGGGCTCTGCTTACCCTTCCTCTCGGCTTGCTGCAGACTCCTCTGTGTCTTCTGTGGGCAGGAAGGAGGCTGCTTGAAGAGGCAGAGAGAGAGTGAGTGAGAGGGCAGCACCTCCGTGGAGGCCCAGCCAGGGCAGAGGCTGGTGGATGCGGACGGCAGGGGGATTTCTTGGCAGAGAGCTGCTGCGGAGTCCGGTGCTACTCTGGCACAGAGGTTACTTACCTCTGTGTTCCTTCTTCCTGCTTCTCTGCCTTCCCTTCCTCTGAGAAGTCCCCTACACACCAAAAGCAAGCACCAGGTTAGCAGGGACCGTCTCCCCTCCTCCGGGATGTCCCATGCTCCAGAGACATCAACCTTAGGCAAGGTAACTCAGGGTGCAGGCAGGATTTTGGGGAGGTCTGTCAGGGTCCCATGGCTGCAGGAGCTGCTCAAGGACAGAGTGGGTGAAAGCAGGCAGTGTGTCTTTGCCCTGACAGCGCCTGGGGATGTCCCCACTGATCTTGTGCTATGAGATGGAGACAGGAGTGTCCTCAGCAGAGTCCAGCTCCAGGGGAGGTAGCACAGAGGGTCCATGGTGGTGGCCTGGCCGGGTGGGCTCTGGCCAGGCTGTTTAACTGCCCCCCGAAATCAAGACACATCCACAGTGCCCCAGGGATGGGCCCTGTCCCAGGCTCAGCCCTGTCTCTGCCTGAGCAGTGCTTGGGGCGATGCCACACCTGACTCCTACCTTGGGCTGGAGGATTCTCCCTCCAGGCATGCAGACCATCAGCCACAGCATCACCAGGAGGTTACAGGCAGAGGGGACTTTGAGCAGGCACAGCACCAAAAAGCTCAGGCCCACTAGCTTGCACAGCTCCATGCTGCCAGCAGAAGCGCGCCGCAAGCGTGCAGCCTGTCCAGTGCTCTGCCTCCGTGTCCTCCTCCACAAGTGCCTTCCAAAACACAGCACACAGCTCTTAGCAGAGGTCCTCTTGCAGTCACCCTCCCCCTCCCAGACCAAGGGAGGCCATCGGCCCTCAAACTCCTGCTCCCCACCGCCCCTCCAACGCCCCTCCACCAACCTCCCTGGCCCTGACCACTCTGCTCTGGAGCTCACCCTGCACACGCTCCTGCGCACCCCAAGATCGACAGCGTCAATCTGCCACCAGGAGACGAGCCAAAGGACGCCGAGAGCAACTCTGCAAAAAGCAGGGAACGGTGCCCTCACTCCGTCGGCCTTGCCTGGCTGCCCGCTCTGCCGCGGCTGCTTTCCCACGTGTGACGCGGGGACACCGTGTCGTGAGCAGCAAGGGCGCAGAATGGTGCCCGAGCGTGGCTGGGCTTCGCTGTGGGGACGTTTGCCTGATTGTGGCATTTGCAGTGGGACATGTTGAGGGAGGGGGAGGCCAGTCGCAGGTGGGAACCTGGCTCCTTGGGCGGGCGCTGCTCAAGGAAGGAGCGTGCAGCGGGTGGTGGACGCTGGGGGGGGGGCGACAAAGCCAGGGAGAGCGCCCCGAGGGGAGGAGAGACTGCAGAGAGACGGAAGGAGCCAGCTCTTACCCCGCTGCCTCGCTCCTTCGCCCCAGCTCAACACCACGCTCTCCACCTGCTCGCGCACTCGCTCGCACACTCGCTCGCTCGCAGGCAAAGTGACAGCGGCACTTCCCCCAGCCCCACCTCCAGAAAGCCCCTGGGGACTGTGATGTGATGGTGACATGGTACTGTATGTGATGTCATGGGTGGACCCCCAGCCAGGACATTCCCATGAACATTTTCCTCGGTGTCCCTACCCCGAGGAGAGCGCGCTGTCCTCAGAGCAGCAGGTTTCACCCCGCGAGGGTCCCCTCCTGCGGACGTGGTGCCCGCTGTGCCAGGCTGCTCAGCCCCGCGGCCTTCCCACCCAGCAGCCCGGCCGCAGCGGCTCCCGCCTGCAAGTCCCTCCGTCCACAGCCCTCAGGCTGTCTCCTGGGTTTTCTCAGTCCAGCACTTATTTCCCCTGTTGCGGCCCAAAACGCATCTGTGCCCATAGCTCGATAAGTAACTCCTTGCTGCAGCAGTGCCCCCGGCTCTGGCACTACCCCGGCCCTGGGTTTTCTCAGTCCAGCACTTATTTCCCCTGTTGCGGCCCAAAACGCATCTGTGCCCATAGCTCGATAAGTAACTCCTTGCTGCAGCAGTGCCCCCGGCTCTGGCACTACCCCGGCCATGCACACAAGCCCCGGCACAGCCACGGAGCCGGGTGATCTGCATTCGCCCGTGGTCTGGGCCCGCGCGCCGAGGCTGCTGGCTGCCTCGGGATGGGTCCTGCCTGTAGGACCATGGGGGAGTTTCCCAGCCGCCCGATGGTGGGTCCGGCCCGGGCTGGGCGACCACCTCAGCTGTGCTCTGCAGGGCTGGCCCTGGCTGCCATTTTGTGGGGAGAGAGGTCTGCCCTGGCAGCCATTTTGTGGGGAGCAAAATCCCCCACTGGTGGCCATCTTGTCCTGGCTAAGGAGAGGACACCGAGCACTGCTGGAGCTCGAAGGTGGTTGTGTCATGGGTGGCACCACAGCTTCTCTTCTCCCAGCGGCCAAGCCCTGCCAAAACCTATATTTTCTCTAAATGTCCTCTTTTTGGGTATGGTGTGTGATGAACATACTCAACAACAGACCGCGCTCCCTGAAACTTCACCCTCTCCCCCGATGACCTTTCCAGCATGCGACAAACAACACTGAAAGTACCAGTCAAAGCCAGTATGGAGCAACTATGAACCGATGTGATCAAATTGTGAAGTTAAAGGCCAGTTCCTGCCCAATGCCAGATGTGCTCTGCCAATGATATTTGGGCAACCATGGGAAGTGTGTCAAACTATGACTGCTCAAATGAATATGTAAGACCAAATCAATTGTATAAATCAGATACCAGTGAAACCATAGGTGTTCCCCCGTTATGGCTTGTCCCAGGGGCACCTGGTGCACACGATTAAAAGTTCCGGTCTTTGTAGTCCTATACTGTGCGTCCAGTGTCTCTCTCCTCAGTCAGCAAGCACATCACGCTTTCGCGAAAGGTGACAGGGCTGAGAGCCTGAGAGACAAGAGCAGGTGGTTGTGAAGGCCCCAGGTAGCAGCTGGCCCCAGAGAGTTCCTGTTTTGGGGTTTGATATGGAGCAGTGCACACCAGGCTGTAGCTGGGGGACCAGCGGTGGAAAGGGGCAGGGAAGTTCTCTTTGGTGCATGGGCATTCGTCCATACACCAGGGAAGGCCAGCTTGGAAGCTGCCTGGCTCCTGGTGGCGCCGGGGCTGCTTTGGTGTCCATGGTCTTGGTGGGCCCCTTGCAGCAGCCCCTTGGGGTCGGGTGTGATGGTCATGGCCTTGGCAGCAGTCTCCCCACTCGCAGCCTCCTCCTCTCTCCATGGCAAACCCAAATACAAATACCATGGCAACCTCTTAGCAACAGCACAGGCAACTCCAGTGGTGTCCAAAAAGCCAGGGCAATACTTGGGCCTGCTGAAGCCAGGAGCTTTCTTCCTCTGTGCTTCACAGCCGGCATCCTTCCCTCCTTGTCCTGGTGAGCACCAGGTGCTGGCAGTGGAGGAGAAGGGGTTGTCCTGTAGTCCCAAGGCATCCTCTGGGCCACCAAGCCACAGGCTGGTTCTCACAGGGGAACCTGTTGGTTAAAAAGGGGTTTTAATTAGAAAACTCCTTCCATGTGTTCTCACTGTCGAGGAAGCTCTTCATAGTTCTGGGCTGGGTCAGAAGAGCAGCTGTATTTCCAGAGCGCTATAATGGAGAGCAGACAGCAGCATCGCTCACAGCAAGCCTCACCAACATGGTGGCTGCTTCCGCTGCACATGGGGCCTTTTATGGACTTTCTTGCCTGTTCCAGAAGCTTCCAACCAATTAAAGATCGTAACCTGAAAGCTCTCCTTTTATGGAACGCTATCGCTATGCTCCCTTCGTGCCTCAAGGCTGGTTGCATCTGTTTTTTCCCAGTGACCCTGCTTATGGCTTGTCCGTGAGAGAAAGTGCTGGAACAGTACAGAAACATGCATAATAGGCCTCAGCCAAAGCCACATTTGAACTCCCAAGCAGTAGATAAGGCCCCCACACATTACCTAGTCTGTATATTTTCACAAACTACCCCACCAGTGACCTTGTGCTATGAGATGGGGACAGGAGTGCCCGAGCACGGAGCCTGGCCCCAGGGGAGGTGACATGGTGGCTCCAGAGCAGGACCCGGCCAGGCAGGCTCTGACCAAGCTGTTTAGCTGCACCCCAAACTGGGGCCCATCCACCCTGCACCAGGGATGGGTATCCACCCAGCTCCTTGGGTGGCGCTGCCCCGAGGAGGGAGTGTGCGGCGGTTTGTGGGCACTGGGTGCTCCCCCTACAGGAGCTGAGACCTGGCACTGTCAGGCCATGGCAAAGCCCATGGCCATTCCCTGGCAGAGCCCCACCCCCGTGTCCTGGGCTGCACTGGGATGCTCAGCAGGGATGTCCCCGTGAACATTTTCCTTAGTGTCGCCGCCCAAGGAGAGCATGCTGTCCCCAGCACAGCAGGTTTCACCCCACGAGGGTCACCTCCTTCGGATGGGGGTTCCCGATGTGCCTGGCCACTCAGTTCTCTTTGATCCATGAACATCCGTCCATACACTGGGAAGGCCACCTTGGCAGCAGCCTCACCGTTTCCAGCCTCCTCTTCTCTCCATGGCAACTCCAGATACAAATACCATGACAACCCCTTGGCAACAGCACAGGCTACTCCATGGGTTTCAACAGCCAGGGCCCCACACCCGGTGGATACTCAGGCGTGCTGGAGCCAGGACCTTTCTCCATGTGCATTTCACAGGCAATGTCTTCCATCCTTGCCCTAGTGAGCGCCAGTGTCTGGCAACGGAGGAGAACAGATTGACCTGCAGCCTTGAGGTGGCCAGATGTGGTCATGTCAGCCTCATCACCTTCACCTCGGCTTGCTTCATCCCAGAGCCAGGGGGATCAGGTTCCGCAGCCAGCACAACCATGCCACCTCTGAGGGTCTGATCCATCTACATGTCACCTTACGAAGCAGCAGCACACATGGGAATTGGTCTTCTCAAAAACCTTTGCTGTGAGTT